GTCAAGAATCTGTCTTCTATGTGACATCATTATGTATCTTTATCAGAAACTGAGCCTCACATCGTAGAAGTTGCCCATAACTCACTAGGAAATCCTACAAATCATAAGAAAGGTATCAATGTAGTAAAATGATACATTTTTCCTCTCCTCTTGTGGCACTTGAATTCTTGAATCTTGCTGAGAACAGTTAGAAAAGGAGTCCCATTCATCCTGGTTATATCAAGTTGGAGTAGATGTGGACCTTTGAACTTGAACTTTAGCTCAAAGAGGTTGTTTTTTTTTTTTAAATTAATGCAGCATTATGATTGGCTACAAGCCATATTTCTAAGTAGTTCATAAGAATTCATTTAAATAATACTGTTTTCCATTTTCCCACTGTATATTAATACCTGTTTTGTATGATGCAGGCAGTTCAGCAGCTGATACACAAATAATTTCAAGACGGACAATGTAACAAGTCTAGTTATTAAAATTTGCACATGTATTTAAAACCCAGTTTTCCCATGTTAATGTAAATAAACTCTAAGGGAAAATGCCATCCCAAGCTGCACACCGGTTTAAGGCTTTCTGTATATTCCTGATGAGCTTTGCATTGACTCCATGTAGTGATTTCTGCGTTTAAGCAATGTTATGTTATATCCTACTAGTACAGGGGTGGGCAATTATGGCAACTTTACACCTGTGTATTTCAACTCCCAGAATTCCTGAGCCAGCATAGCTCAGGTTTTGAAGTCCATAGGTCATGGTTGAAGTCCACAGGTTGCCATAGTTGCCTACCTCTGTACTAGTATGCAAGCCTTGTCATTGGCCAAGCTAGAGCCAATTAGAGCCATGGGGGAAGTTGCAGCCAAAACCTTGAGGGCACCCAATTGATTGGCTTTGTAACACAACTTGAGTTAATGAAGCTTTGCCCATGCTCCCAACTCCGCATTACTTGTAGAGTGAACGACCCCCTTTCCCTTCCTTATTCTTTGCTTTCCGATTTGTAATGGCAGTTCTTTCAATCATCACAAATAAAGATTTTCCAGTATTCCAAAGGCTCTTGTTACTGCTTCATAGACAAGAAAAGAAAACAACCTACAGTTTCCTTCCATATTGCCATGTTTCCTAACATTTTGTGGGGTTGAAACCACCTAGTGCAATGGTTCATGTAGAGAATGTAACAATAGAATGATGTGTTGGCTCAGGAATCTCCTCACCACACCCGTATCCATCCCGCAACCTCCCTAATAAGAAAGAAAAACTCCATGCAACAGTGTTTGGACACTGATACTGAAGACTTCTTTTTAATTACCCCCTTTTAAAAAAGGTAACATTGTTTGCTATATTTTTGTACCTGTTACTTGGATAAATAGGCAGCAAATAAGCTTATTGAAGTTGTACAGTTGTACTTTTAACTAGAAAAAAAATCACCTTTGCTGTCCTTACATCTGTGGATTATTGTAAGATATTAGAATTTACAATTTATTCAGATGTAAATTTTGCATAAACATAAAAAATTTGTTGAATGAATAGTTGCAATATAACTCAAAAGTTGAAATTTCCATTAAGTCTCTAGGGGATTATTGTTATTAAAAATACTACCTCAAGATCCAATATTTTAAGAGGGATTCCACTCTTAATCCCCATTATATACAGTACTTTATACAGATATGTTAATGAGAAGGTCTCTATACCAAGTTAAAGTCCCTCAACAGCAAATTGAGATCATATTATGATTATAGTGGGCTTTTATTTTAGTATCTATATTTTTTTGAATAGGACCTTCTATGAATATTTTATTGGGAAGGGAGACTAAATGTTGTTGCACTTCTGAAATCACAGAAACTTTTAAAATCCAGGTATATTAAATGGGGATCTTTGTTTCCAGCTGCCAGACAGATTTGGTAACGAATAGACCAGCGATTACATTTTGATCTGGAATCAACGAGAAATTGATGTTGTGGAGTATCTCACATTTGAAATTAGTAGGGAAAGATATATTCTTGGATGCTTGATGCAAACAAGGAAACAAGAGTTTGAAGCATTTGATTTCTGTTGGTTCCTTTAAAGACCTTGAGAGATTAAGTTTTGAATATGACTCTCTGTTAACGTTAACTTGGCAATATATACAACTGAAACATGTTGTGGCCTGAATTCTTTAGCAACATCCAAAGTTCCCATAGAAGCAAATATCTCAGGATTGAAATGTGGAGTTCTTGGTGCTCTCTGAGCTTGGTTGTTTGCTTGCAGATGTTTTATTACACAATCAGATAATATCAGCAGTTCAAGGCATCTGCAATATTAGGATCCGTAGGAGAATTACAGCAATTCAATTTTATAAAAAAATAAAATAAAATGAACGTGTAATACTTGAGTTATGACTTTAATGGGGCCTGTGCATCAAGATTGTAATTAGGGTCACAAAACAGGTTGGTCACATGACCGACAACCTTTTTAATGGCAATTATTAAACCAATGGAAGTAAATGCCAGTTTTTGGCAAAACCGATGTAAAATGCAGAATGCTACAAATGGTCATAAATGTGGCACAGCGGTTGATCATCCTAATAGCAAATAAGAGTAAATTTGGAGCTCCTTCAGAATTAGGGAGGAGACCTACCTACCAGTTCACAGAAAGGCAGTAAAAATAAAATAGAAAGATGAGGAAGATTCTTCTCGAATGTATTGTACTGGTTGTAGATAGAAAATAGTTCAGTTGCCAGAATTATTTGTAACCCCATTCCTTTCTACTTAAGTCTTGGTAAAGAGACCCTGAGAATCATCCTTGTAATAGGAATTACTTCTTATTTTAGGCAGATGCCGAAGAAGTAACCCCCCTGGTTGGGGAAGGCTGCTTCAGAGAGTAAAAACTCATCCATCCTTTTTCCTGTTAAGCCCAGATGAGAAAGAGACAAAAACAACAGCTCCAGAGACGGAACCAAACACAACACAAGCTTGTTTGTTGATTGACTCCAATGCTGTGTTTTAAGCCAGTTTCCCTCTTGAGATGTCATTCTACAGAAGTGCTGGGATGGTAACTCCTAAACCTAGATCCTTCTTATAGAAACAGGAGGAGTTTCAGTCCAAGGACTTCTGGTAAACACCTGGTTGGGGAAGATGTCTCTAAGCTGCTGTCCTAGTCATATCTGGGAAGAGGTCCCATTGAATTAAGTAGGCATAGTCACACGTTTGGCATTACCAGGCCCAGCAGAGATGTTGTTATATTGTTTTGGTTTTCTGCATTGTCAGTGTTTGGTTGCATTCTGGCTCTCCAAACCAACAGAAGATGAGCTATGGGTACATAGGAAAGACTAGGATTTTTTAGTCCCCTGAACCAGGGGTCTCCAACCTTGGCAACTTTAAGACTTGTAGACTTCAACTCTCAAGAGTTTCTCAGCCAGCTGGCTGAGGAACTCTGGGAGTTGAAGTCCACAAGTCTTAAAGTTGCCAAGGTTGGAGACCCTTGCCCTAAACAATCTTCATACTAACCAGGAAGTCACTTCCAAAAATTGTGACCCTTCTTTTCCCCGTATACCATCCCACCAAAAGGTGGCTGATACATCTATGGGAGCTACATGCCTTTGTCTCACTGTAACTTCACTTTCGTGATATTTTGCTAGTTCAGGCCTTTTATGAATGTAAGTGAATATAGTGCCAATTGTGCCAGCTTCAATGGGCTTCTGCGTGCAACAAAAGGCTTCTCTTGGCAGAGCTCCGCTGTGTGCATGTCAGAAGCTCCTGTAATATGGCTCGCCAAGAAGTAGCCAGACACTAGTGCAGATTGAACTACTTAGCTGTGGTTTTCCTCTTCCCTGCCTCTTCCAATCTCTTGTTTTCATTTGTTATGTTTAAGCATCCCATATGTTATCACTAGGAGGTTCTAGCTGGCGCTTTTCTCTTTCCTTAAAGTTACAGTTGAAAAAGGTAAGCAACAGCTGTATAAGCTCAGTTAAAATGGTGTCTCTGAATATTACACAGAATATGCAGCATGCAAAATGCCCTGAATGGAGTTTAAAATAACTGCTTAAAAAATAGTGAGGTAATGCAAAGAAGTCTTCAGAATTGGACCCCATAGGATCTAATTGCTTGGATACCGAAAAATGTGGTGCAAACTTAGACTTATTATCATTTGCTAGTCTCCTTTATGCAAATTCCTTGTTATATTATGCTGCTTGTTGTGGATTTGTCCATCAATAGTTCAAACACTGCAAGAGAGATGAAACAATGGTTCAAATTACCGCAGTGCCTGAACCTTGGCTTTTCTAGATAAAATACAGATTCTGTTGTTTTAAACTGATTTTTCTTTCTGTCTTTTTGATTAAAGAGTTTTCTGTGCCATTTCTAACAATTTTAAATAGCACTGTTTAAAGCCTCAATGAAATGCTCTAGATCATGTAAAGTAATGAGACATTCCCTAAGTGCACCTCTCTACAAGTAGTCCTCAACTTATGACCACAATTTCCATTGTTAAGCAAGACAGGTGTTAAGTGAGTTTGCCCCATTTTGCAACCTTTCTGGTCACAGTTGTTAAGGAATCACTGCAGTTGTTAAGTTAGTAACTTGTTTGTTAAGTGAATCTGGCTTTCCCATTGTCTTGCTTGTCAGAAGTTTGTAAAAAGCAGTCACATGACCCCAGGACACTGCAACCGTAATAAATATGAGCCAGTTGCCAAATGTCTGAATATTGATCACATGACCATAGGGATGCTACAACTACTGTAAGTGTGAAAACACTCATGTCACTTTTTTCAGTGTCGTCGTAACTTCGGTCACTAAACAAATGGTTGTAAGTCAAGGACTACTTTATTGGTCCAATATTATATTACAAGAAGAAGAAGAGAAAATGAATGCATCCTATTGTGGATATGAAGGGAGAGATTAATATTTAGCCCTGTCACTCCTTCATTTAGCCCTGTTTTCTCCTTCAATTAGACTGCCTTTTGTGTAAAACATTAAAAAATTCCTAGTTGTGGATGTATGTATGATGCTCAACAGGAACTCTTTATATTCTCTTTCCAGCTACATGGTTACTTAGAAAGTGAACCACTCACACTACAGCTCTTCATCGGGACTGCAGATGACCGCCTGCTGCGGCCCCATGCCTTCTACCAGGTTCATAGGATCACAGGGAAGACTGTTTCTACAACCAGCCACGAAACCATCCTTTCCAACACCAAAGTCTTGGAAATTCCACTTTTACCTGAAAACAACATGAAAGCAATGTAAGGCCTACCTCCTTTTTAAAGTCCTGTCTTATACTTTTATTAAATGTTACACATAAAAGACAACATAAACTAACAGTCAAAAGAAAAGATATAAAAAGTAAGAACAGAAGAAGTGCAATAAGGTATGAAAAGAAAGAAAGGGGAACAAAAATATAAACAAAGAATAACATCCAACTTCCAAGAATATAAGGCACACTTTGATTCGGCTCTTACTTTAAGACTGGGATTCGAAGTCCATTTTCCTCAAAAAAAGGAAAGAGGAAAAAAAATCTTTAAAATGTATCAGTCTTCAAATGCATATGTCAAAATTTGATTTTTCTCGTCTCCTGCAAAAAGTCCATAAAGGACTTCCAATTATAGATCAATTTCTTCATTTTTTTCTGTCTCACAAGGGCCGTTAATGTAGCCATCATTGCCAGTTCTGTCACCTTTATTACCCATTCCTCTATTGTAAGTAGTGTAGGATCTTTCCAATACTGAACATATAAAAGTTGTCATATATAACAATAAAACACCATGTGATTTTTTCCAATGTTTTATCCATAAGCCCTCACAGTTTTTGGTCTGAGTACATTAATTTTTAATATTCTTTTGAATTAGTTTTATAACTAACTAAATTAGTTATATAACTAATTTTACTCCAGTATTGCTTAACTCTTTTGCAAATCTACCAAAGGTGGTTGAAGATTCCTATTTTGAGTGTTAACACCTATAGTAACTATTCCTTTATACGTTTAGCCAATTTATCTGGGGAGAAGTACCATCTACTTGTAAAAGTTCTCTTTGAGGTTATAACTTAATATAAATTCAGTCCCTTCATTCACATGTTTTCCCATTGATCAATTGAGAAACCACCTTTTTTATATCAAATATTTGGTATAATCAAATATATCAAATATTTGATAGGGTTCTGTCCAGGGGTGGGATTCAAATTTCTTAACAACCGGTTCTGTGGATGTGGCCTAATTTGTGAGTGTGGCTTGGTGGTCATGTGACTGGGTGAGTATGGCTTGTATGTAAATATTACAAATATTTATGTAAATATTAATTTTTTATTTAAAAAAGAGCAACTTTTTTGCCGGTTCTCCGAACTGGGGACAATTGTGTGTTTACAAGAAATCATCAGCTGTGCCGCCTGGACAGCTTGGGTGGTGTAGCATTTGAAAATCCTCTTGTTTCCTGCTTTTTCAACCTCAACTGTGCTGCGCAAAGCAGCTGAGGAGGGAAAAACAGGGAATAAAGGACAGCCTAGAGCCTGAGTAGATGGGTGGGCCAAACACTGAACCAGTTCAGTGTCAGCTGCTCTTCGTAGCTACAGGTTCTATAGAACCGGGCCGAACCGGTAGCATCCCACCCCTGGTTCTGTCTCTCTTGTTAATTAAATTATTAATTTTACATTTTTTTTCTAGCTGCAGAATTTTGTCCAGAATATTTTTACTGTTTCTAAAGTGTTGAATAAAATGTGTGAATATTTATTCAACACTAGTAACACTGGTTGTTATCCCCCGCCCTCTCTCTCTCACACACACACACATGTGCTTCCATACCATTTAAAATCAGTATATCAGTTACAGAGCTGTAAATATCTCCTACCTCAGCTCCTGTTTTAGGTTCTTAACCTGACACCACCTTATTCCCATGGTATATTCTTCAGGAAACAAGTTTGCTAGCATTCTCACAAAGAAAAGAGAGACTGAATGTTGTATATCTCTGTTAAAGGAAACATTAACCAAAGGTTGAGTTTTTTTGAAGCTGCAACTAAATAAGACCTTGTGGAATTTTTAACCTTCACACAGTGTTAAGAATGAAAAACTCATCTATTTAATTTGTAAAGAGTGATCGTTCTGCCCAAGAGAAATGTGTGCCAAAATGGAAGTAAATATGAACAATTTCAAATAAATAATTGTATAGGTTATGATAATTTTCCTAGCCCCAAATAATCTCACTTGAAAAAAGGCCATGTGGCAGATAGTTATACAATCAAGACCTCTCTCCTTTTCTCTGTTGCCATTGTGCCTTCGGGTATTGTTAAAAATTGGTTTGTGTGTATTTAGTGTGTATTTTAAATAACATCTGCAAATGTTTTGTAATATTAAATGGCACATGGAGCTGGAGGGCAGGGAACTGGAATAATAGCAAGGCACATTGTCACAGAAAGTGATCAAGAAAAAAACCTCTAGGTACTTATAAAGTGGTACCACATGGAAGCTGTAATCAGAAACATATTTATCCGGCAATCAGACTCAATAAAATGGAAAAACTTGGTTTTGAAAATTGACATATAATTTTTAAAATGAATAAAGCAAGCAAATAACTCTGAATCAATATGCCTGATTACATTTTAGGAGTGGCAAGAATATGGCTAAATTTGAACAAACCATTGACACTCTTAACAAAATGTGTAAGATAGCATTTAGATATGCACTGTCTAAACAAGATAATACGTATTAAGATAAATTGTTTTCCCTTGTAGCTTCGCTGCAGGATCCACTTCTTAATCATAATTATTATGTATAATCAAAATCTCACTGCCTGAAACTCTTAGGACTCACTGTGCATTAACCGGTTTAGTCTAGTGTCCATTTAATGATATATAAATAGCACTGCAGTTTGCTGGAATGTCAAAGTTAATGAAGTGTGTGATCCAAACAACTTGGATCAATAAAGCTGTATTACAGATATATTTATACTGGTTCTGTAAGGTTGCATCTGTCTCAGGAATTGCAGTTATAACCAGTCAAAGCCTTGAAAAGCCTAAAGAAAATTAGGCATGAACTACAGTATTCTTCTTATTAGTCCATTTCTCATCTTGTTATCTGAAAGTGGTAATATCCTAAATCTGAGACAGCAAGCACCTAAAACATGAAAGTGTCTGGTCTTAACATTGTGATAACAACTCCATAGTGCAAATTAATATTTGCTGTTACATTTGCAGTTTAAAATAAACATTGCTAGAAAAGATGTCTATGCTTGAAATGGGCGTCAACAAAAAGAAATGAAGTCGCCAGAAACCATGGTGGCTAGATACCACCAACATGCGCAAGAGCATAAAACAACTGAAAGAAATTGTACAAGATCAGAAAATGTGGGGAATGGGCCCGTAGAATCACCAAGAATCAGACACAATTGAATGGATCATCACCATAAGCATTGCATTATAGCTCCATGATGCATCTGGCACCAAAGTTCTTGCTAGCTCACTTATAGGATCTCAGACTGTGCAACATCCTGACTTCATTAGCTGTCTTGATTCACCATTAGGAGTGATGATGTTTGGCGGTGTTTCAAATCCAACTGACTTGTTTGCAACCGCAGCAACTCATCAGATAGAGCATTTTCCCCCTTTTCTTTTTTCCTGAAAACCAAGACAGAGACAGCTCTGACCATTCTTGATATTTTATAGCAGAAGATTTGTGCCAAATTCTAGTTAAAACTGCTTGTGGGACTGGCTTTATTCCACCAAACCAAATGGCAAGAAAGCAATTTGTATAAATGTAGCATATGGGCAGCCGTCCTCTGCATTATTGAAATCTAGTTACTCTTTTCTTGTCTGGCAGGCATATAAAAGTCCTGAAATATTTTTATTAGGGAAGATTCACCTATAGAAATTCTATGTAATAAAATTGCTAAAAGTATAGGCCCTTAAGCGAAAAATATACATAACAGACATGATGTGAGTCTTCAACAGTTCCTGGGCAAATACATAATCTACCCAAGATATGTAATAATTACCTCCCTTCTTTCCTAATTCAAGGCAAATCAGAATTTTCTCTTTCATTGGTACCAGCAAAGAATCATTTGTATTAGTCCTACAAGACAAAAAGGAGGGAGGGAGGGAAGGAACGAACCAACGAACGAACTTTAGCTTATCAATATGTCTGAATCAGCCTTGAATCCCAGACAAGGAAAGGAAAGTAAGGCTACTATAGTTGTACAAACCTGGTTTGCTTCTTCTGAATTTGTGTTTGCCTATTGTTTCCAGTTTATGAAATGCTTCTTGGGCTGAGAGTCACAAACATGATTTCAGGCACAACCTGGGTTTGTGTCTATTCTATATTTTCAGTATGACAAATGTAATATGATTTTCAAAATCCAAGCCTAAAATTGGTGATCCAGTAATTTAATAATTTAATGAGGAATGGAAAAGAGACTTTTGTGTGTGTTAAGTTCTGTGAATAAATAATTTAGGAATTCCTTGTGCCCTTTACTTAGTCATTTTTTTTCTCTTAAACTAGCTAAGACACATCAACTGTTTAGATGCATGTCATTCTAGAAGCATGCAAAATTTTAAATGGATTGTTTGCTGTTGTTTCTTGAATAGCATTGACTGTGCTGGAATACTGAAACTTAGAAATTCAGACATTGAACTAAGAAAAGGAGAAACTGACATTGGGAGGAAAAATACACGAGTTCGGCTGGTCTTCCGTGTTCATATCCCTCAGCCTAATGGGAGAACCCTTTCTTTGCAAGCGTCTTCCAACCCTATTGAATGTTGTAAGTATCCTTTCTTTCTTGGTTTGTTCATGTTTGGAGTTAAAAATGGAAGTTGTTCTGTTGCTCTGAATTCCAGAAAAAGAAGCACTTCGTATTCAGAATATTGAATATTTCTTGGAAATAACTGACGGCAAAAATAAACACACTGTACTGTTCTTCCAAAGAGATCTTGAAATTGGACTAAGAAGATACAAGTAACTCAGCAACTGTCTTCTCAAAGCAAATGCTACTAAAAAATTACAAATGTTGTTTGCCCAAAGTAGAATACTTAAAAACCTTAAACTCCAGTTTGTGTATATTCACATTTTATTTGTTTTTTTTTTTAATCTCTGTCAGCCCAAAGGTCTGCTCAGGAACTGCCTCTGGTTGAAAAGCAGAGCATTGATAGCTACCATGTGATGGGTGGGAAGAAAATAATTCTGAGTGGACACAACTTTCTTCAAGACTCTAAAGTGATATTTGTGGAGAAGGCTCCAGGTATTTAAAGCACTACCAATGTTTATGCTTAAGTTGCCAGTGTAAATATATAGCTACAGTGTTGCACTTTTTTAATGACACTCTCCTATGTTGTTACCTAGGTCAACTATGTTATACACTTTCATGAGTGACATTATCAGACATGTGCACTTGGAACTAAATTTCACTGTGTTTCTGTTTTTCTGAAACGCATAAAACAAAAATAATTTATTAATACAATTATTCCGGAGGAATATGCATATGTTTGTAGCTTGAATAGAAGGGTAAAAGGAAGATTTCAGTAAGTCTAACTCACAAATTTAGCTGGTGATGGCAAAACTACTAAATGTCTGGGGGTTTTTAGGGGCTGCAATATTATCTGGATAGAAGTGGAATTCAGTTATCATCTCAGAGACTTTCCTGCTGGGATCCCTACATAGTGATAATGCTAGATGAGGTCTAGCATCATCAGTATGATTTCACACATCTCTCCTGATAGCCAGCAGGCTCCTGATTCACCGGACTAATAATTAATTTGATTAAAGTATTATTTTAATTTAATAAAATGGAAAGCTGGGATATGGAATAAACAATCTAGCTTCCAACCATCTTCATTTTCCAGGAATTTCTTGGGAGTCCCAAAGATTCTCCTGGAAAATGAGCATGGTCAGCTGTAACCCAATGCTTTGTTTGGAAGGGTGTTTCTCTGCCCCATTCCCAAAGAAGAGCAAAAGTAGCCAAGGGTAAGTTAACGGGTGCTTTTCAACTAGTTCTGGCCCTAGGAAATGATTGTGAATGGGCACTGCATCAGCCATCTTATGACAGAACCCACAGCATGGTCTCCAAAATCTAAATCTATCATCCCACCTCAAATTGGGGATCCTTGATCTGTGGTTATGAGATCTAGCCATTAATCTGATATCTCTGGGTATAAATAGTTGAATTGAAAATCTAATTTGTGTATCTTTTGTGCATGTGCAGTTATTGCAAATAAAATATACTTAACAAATATTTAAAAAAAACGAATAAAAAGTCTCAATTGCCAGGTTAAAGTAATTGAAAAACCAAGTATCTCACTTAACCAGGAGTATAAGGAGAGCCGGCCATTTAATTCCTGAGAATTAAATTAGAGTTTGTGTGTGTTTTTGTGATGGGGAAGGGAAGAACTTTGTCAACCATTATAGAAAGCAAAACAGATTTAATAAAAGCACCAGAATACAAAATCACTTATAATCTATCCCTATAAAGATTGTGTTCATTATATTATAAAGTTTATGTACTCTCTATGTAATTATACGTTCTTTTATATAATTTAATAAACATATATTTTGAGAATTCATAACAAACCACCTTCTTGTGTAGATTATCTACAAACAAACTCCTGATTAGAAAGAATTTCCATCCTGGACTCTAAATATTTTCATTCAAATTCTCTATTTTAAGTAGAGAATATGGATTTGTTTCTTGTGCTGCGTATCGTGTTTTTTATTCTATTCTTATGTACTTTAATCTATGAAAAGCTGTAAAACTATTTAAATAGTTAGCAAAGTCCACTAATGGCAGCATGTAAATCTGAAGAAATTATTTTTTTCCCTAAACAATAAAAAAGAAAATAAATATTATTATAATTTTAATCAGAATAGAGCTGGAAGAGACTTCTAGTCTCCTAGTCCAACTCCCTGCTCAAGCAGGAGACCCTATACCAGGGGTCTCCAACCTTGGCAACTTGGAGCCTGAGTTGAAGTCTGCCAGGCTGGGGAATTCTGGGAGTTGAAGTCTGCCAGGCTTCAAGTTGCCAAGGTTGGAGACCCTGCCCTATACTATTTCAGACAAGTGGCTGTCTAGTCTTTTCTTAAAAGCTTCCAGTGATGAAGCGCCAACAACTTCTGAAGGCAAGCTCTTCCACTGGTTAATTATCCTCACTGTTAGGAAGCTGGACACTTTGTTATTAAATACTCATTTAAGATGGCTAAGCTACACCAAAAGCTTGGGTAGAAGTGGAGTGCAAAGACATATTTCCAGGGACAAGTTACACCAATTTTTGCCTGGCTTTTTCTAACCTTAATTTCCCCCTCTTCTTCTTCTGAAAGGCTCTATTTTCATTTGCAAGGATCTGAAAAACACCTGATGCTTTTCAGGTGTTTCTTAGTCTGCTGTTTTAGAATCAAACTGCTAGAAGAAATTGGGAGTTGAGTAAAGATAACACAGAAGAGCTGTATAAAGAGGAGCTAAAAAAAGCAGCTAGATAAATGGGGTAGTGGTATGTATAAAAAGCCAGGGTCAATGAAGGCAAGAATGAAAGGGGAGGAGCAATTTTTAAAAGCTTTCTTGTTTTGGAAAGAGTTTCCGTGGTGCTGGCACAAATGAGGCATTCTACAGCTGTTTGCTGAACCCCCTGAACTTTAAGCTGTCTCCTGAAACGCTCAAACTCTTCACTTTTCCCAGTCCTTCAAAGAAGGCTGTGATAATTAGGACCATTTCATCCTCAGCATTCACCAAGTTCCAAAGTGATTGCACTACCACACTGTAGCCTAACTGTCCTTAACTGTGCAAGTATGTTGGAAGGACATGTTTTTGCTGAGTAAGGCAGTCTTGTCTGCTCTCAGATGGAGAATATGTTGCAGTCTTGTCTGCTCTCAGATGGAGCTACCGTCAGGGGTGGGATTCTACCGATTCTGTTTACTCCTGTAGAACTGGTTGCTCTGAAAAGCAGCAAACAGAGCATACATAGAACCGGTTCTATGTCTGCTGCTGTTTTGGCCCACCTGCCCACCCGGGCTCTTACCTGAGCTTTATTTCCTGCTTTTTCAACCGCAGCTGCTTTGCGCGACACAGCTGCAGTTGAAAAAGTGCTTTTTCAACCGCTGCGCACCCGCGCGCAGCGCTGCTCAACTGTCCAGGCAACTAGATGATGCCGATATACACGCCCACATGCGTGCGCAAAATGTAAAATCACCAAAACGGTAGTTACACCGGTCGGATCCCACCCCTGGCTACCGTATCATTTGGAGATGCTGGCTGACCAAAGCAGAGCAATGCCCTCCCACCAGGCTTTCTTATATTATTTTTTCACCCAGGTAACAGATAATGAATAAAGATAACCCAACAGGGCATTTGCAGTTGCGAAGTCAACAGAGAGAGTTATGTAGAAAAGAAGTGCAGAAAGGGGCAGACTAAAATGTGGCTACACATTTCCAGATTCTTCTGGAAACTATTTAACTGGGGAGTGTAACAGGTTGATTGGACGAAAAGCATTGGAGCAGTGTTTTGATATAACAAAATATATTTATTTCTTTGATTGATGGTTAAAGCTACCTGCCAATTTGTCAACAATACCAAAAACACAGTGGTCATACATAGCAATGTATGGCAGTAATCTTTATCTTGTTTGGACCACATTTCCCATAATCTCCACCCAGCATAGCTATAGTGGATGAGGTTCTGGTAGTATAGCTTCATCAAAACTTTAAAGGTTTCTTTATTAAGAATATTTAATCATGATCAAAATATTTCTACGGAATATTTCCACCAGATAGTAAATATTATGGCCTAGTGTATAATCTGATAGATAACTATATCATATTATAGTTTAAACTGCAATAATTGGTTTCATCTTTTCAAGTAAACCAAAACCAAATAAACAAAATTGTGATTGTGGTTTCTGTTGTATAATCTAAATAATGAACCAATTATAGTATATATAGTAATTCATTACAATATTACAATATTAAAAGTTAGCCAAAGTTCTTTAATCGGACAGATTACTATGTATAGGATATAATAGTTTAATATATCATTTTTAAATCTTTACATGTTTGACGAATAGGCCGGACTTTTCTTTCTTTTGTGAGTTTAGTGATGGCATTGCTAATGGCTTCTTTTTAAAGTTATTAAGTCATACTTGGTGTACATTTGGTTTGCTAAATTGGTATTGGTGTCCAAGTTGTAATTTTTGTTAATGAATATGATTTCTAAAAATGATCCTAATTGGTTATGCAGACCACCTTGGTTATTTGTAATTGGCTGAACATTATTTTGTGCTGAAGTCTTGAACTATGCCTGCCGTTCTGGGCTATCTTTCAGCTGCTGTGATCTCTTGAGAAATGGCATTTTTCTTGCATAGAAAGAGAAAAGGGAAGGGTTGGCCTGCCTGAACAATGACTCATATGAAAGGGAATCCCTGAAGAAAGATCAAGTCCATTCTTGAACTTGAAGTCAACAGCAGAAACATGCTTTCAGTTTAACTCCTTGAACACATTTTTTTGGCAAACAAGTTTAAGATCCAGGAACGTTAACATTACCTATGGTGTTCTGCGTCTCTTACTTGAAATGGGATGATTATGCAATAGTATTTGTTGCTTAATTTTTTTAAACTAATATGGGTATTAGAATAAAGGGACATGGGTGCAAAGGGGCTCATCTTAAACCAAATTAATTTCTAAGTGATAGTGGTGGAGGAAGATTGCTATTCTGCAAGAGACACAGCTTTTCTTCAGAAGCATGCTGTCATTTCCTGAGACATGCTATAGTGTTGTTGAAAGAATTATGGTGCTGATATTTATTGCTTGTGCACAAAGCTATTTTTCCAGTGATGAAATTCAATATTAAATATGCATTCAAGAACTTGATCGCCCACTTGTGAAGAGAGCAAAGGAGAAAGTGTCTGTTCTGTTCTAAAGGTTCAGCTTTCTTGAAATGTTATTTCATTTCCAGCAATGATTTCAGCAGTTAATTTGATTTCCATGGAGTTTCTATTTGGTGCTATTGTTCAGTTTACCTCACTGTTTTAATTTAAAATAGATTTATGTGACTTTTAGGAGAAATAATGAGTGATTTGTGAGGGAAAACCTCTTCTAATATTAATTAATTAATTTTCCAATGTAAACACCCACAACTATAAACTACTAAAACTCTTGTGTCTATAATCTTTAGTTGGCAAAATTGGAATGTATAAGACAACAATTATTGAATGAAGGTAACTCAAATGGACTAACTTACAGAACACTGGGAGTCAACTCCCG